CGAAGAACTCGCCAAGATCTGTCAACCCTCACTGAAATTCGTGCTCCTTTGACTCCACAATCCGGCAGCACCTCCTCATCTTGATAATCAATTGTCCCCCCTAAAAGGAGGCCATAGGCTTGTATTTATAGGGCTTCGGAAGCGGTTATTTGGATGAGAACAAGTGATTTGGCTCTATCTTCAGTTAACAACAGCCTAACCACGTTTGGGGATGATATCAAGTCAGTTAGAAACCCTTGGAACAGATAAATCTTGCAAAAACAGCATCAAAACCGTCAAAACGCGTTTCGGGTTCCGTACTGCGCTTGCGCGGGTTGGATCAGTCCGACCTGCGCTTGCGCTGGTCAGATTGATCCGACCTGCGCTTGCGCAGGTCGGATCAGATCCGACCTGCACTTGTGCGGGTCGGATTGATCCGTCTCGCGCTTGCGCGGATCGGTTTATTCTGTCCTGCGCTCACGCAGTTTTGCCGACTCATTCTTTTATGTTCCCTTTCTTCCGAGATTTTATCTTTTCGCGTGTTTGGCCGATTTGTTGACTCGTATGCTTTGCCGCAAGACCGATCGTCGAACGCGCTTTAGTTAATATACGCGTGTTGATCGATGCGTGCGGACTAATTGGCGTGCGCGCGTTGACCGACGCGCACGAGCTGGTTGACGTGTACGAGATGATTTGAAGTACGCGCGTTGACCGGCACGCACGAGCTGATTTGACGTACGCACGTTGACCGGCGCGCACGAGCTGCTTAGGTGAGTCTTCTTGTCTCGCCAATTCATTGCTTCGAGTTTCGTGCGGGCTCTTATAGGCAATTTTAGACGCCTACAGATATTTTATAGGTTATGAACATAAAATTATTTAATCATTGAGGGCATTTGCGTTGCTTTTTTCCCAAGTGTGAGGATGTTTTTCGTTGATATTGCAGGTTTAAAAATATTTTCCTTTGAGTTTTCAAAGTGTGAGAACACTTCTAATTTCCCTTTAAATTGTGACGCATGGTGGGAGAATAGCAAAGTGGTGTTGTTATTAAATGAAACAAACATAAGCAATATTTTTGTTATAAACAATCCTCATGTGATATAGAACAAGGAGAAAGTGCTACTGTCAACTTGTCATGGAAACGAATGACTCGTTAGGTTCTTTTTGAATTTTCTACTTATTACGCTGGAACAGGGCCCCCCACTTGGGGGCCTCAAAATCGCGCAATTAAATCTGGGGTAAAAATGTAAACTTGCGTCAATGTTCCTCGAGTTTCCATTCTCGTCCTCATCGCTGGCTCTCAAAGACGCCCTTTCCTCTTCCTCATCACCCTTTCCGCTTCCGCAATTAAATCAATTTAGGGTTTTATCTTTTTGATTTTTTGCTCATAGATCATTGGCTGGCGTCTTTCCCCTCTTTTTAGCAAAAACAACAAACAAATAAAAAAAAACTTTTGCTTGCCTCCTCCTCCTCCGCGTCTTCATCGTCGTCGAGTTTCAGAGTCGGGCACAGTATCATAGATCAGAGCTCATCTCCGACGACGTTAGCGGGTCCCGCCTCCGATCTCGACCTCGAACCCGACCCGATTTCGGCCTATCCTGTGGTATGGCACTGTTTGGAAAAGGATTGTTATTCCTTGGCACTCTTTTATTATGTGGATTACTATGTGGGGGAGATTATTGACTGAAAGTAGACTTATGCATCTTAATATAGTTCATAAGAGCAACTGTATCTTGTGTCATCGTGGGCATGGGGATTTGGCCCACATATTTTTCCAATGTCCCTTTTTGGTGCGGAAGAAAATACTTTCTTCGCTTTGCGTTGATAGGGATCCTTTACCATTTTCTGAGGAGATTGTTTGGTTTATAGCTCATGCTAAAGGTAAAGCTATAAAAAAGAAGGTTGTATGTGCTGCTTTTGCTGTTGCCTTGTATCAACTTTGGAGAGAAAGGAATGCTAGAATATTTCAATCCTCAATTAGCAGAGTCAATACTATTATGAAGATGTTATATATTGATGTTATTGCGAGAGTGTTAAAGAGTAATGTTTCTCCACAAGTCCAGTTTTGAATTTCAAATTTATAGACTCTTTGAGATTTTTTTAATCTTTTTATTGAGAGTTTCTTTGCTTAGATGTTGTATAGTGTAAGTGGGTATGCCTAGTTTTTATGCATGTTCACAAACGCTTACAGGTTAAGGGGGGGTTAGTCATCTAGAACTTAAAACTGGAACTGGGATAATTTGTGGGATAAATTTTTAAGGTGTTAGTCACATAGAACTAGGAAATGGGATATTTTTTTATAGTGTTAGTCAAGAAGAACTTTTGTAGAACTAGAACTGTATTATTTTTTTGGTGCGTTAGTCAAGTAGAATTCTACTAGAATTAGAATTAGGATAATTGGTCATAATTATCCCACAAATTATACTACCTATATATATAACCATAAGTTCTCCTCTCTCAAATTATCCCACACATTGGAAAGAATACAATTGGGAAAAAAAAGTAAAACGTCGCCTCCCTCCCTTTTGGTTAAAATTTCTCTGCCATGAAGTCAATCATCCGTTCATTTTTCTGTCTTTACTTTGTTTTTGTGATGATTAGATCTTTTATTATTATCTTCAAGATGTATTACTTTATTGATAGCTTTTTGACGTTTAAATTATTTATTACTATTTGTTTGATCTAAGTTTTCTCTCCACAACAGTGGTTTAGGTTAAGAATATAGTGTTGGTGGGTTAGTGCTAAAGATATACGGGCTATTTATGTTTTTTTATAAGTTAGAAAGCAACTTTGCGATCACATTGATGATTAGATGTTGAATGGTTAATGGTGATATCTATTATCTATTATTATTAAATCGGCTCAGTAAATTGATTGGGATATTTATAGTTCATCTGTCAATCATCTGTTTAGCGGTCATGGATGATTCCTGTGTACATTTCATTTATTTGCTGATTTGGTTTCAGCGATCATGATGAGATTGGTCCAAAGGGTTAATGGCTGAAAAATGCTTATTTTTCTTTCTTTATGATGTTATGAGATTTGAACTTCGACATTTATGATCCTCCACTAGAAGCTCCACGAAATGTTGCTGATGCAGACGATGACTCCGATAAAGAAGACGAGATACATACTCAACGAGCAGCTGTAGGAGCTTGGAGAAATTCTATGACGGATGTCATGTGGGATGATAGAAGCCATGTGGGATGATGGAAGTCGAGTCACTCTAGGGATTTAGATTTTTATTTTTTTTGTAAATTATTTTATTATTTGAGATGAATAGTGATGCTTTATTGCATTATATTTTATAGTTATTACTAGAATTTGCTTATCAATATTATATTATTTTTAATATACAATTATTAACAATAGTAATTTATACCCACCATTAGCCCCACCAAATTATCCTACCAAATTATGCAACTTCATAATATTATTCATCATTATCCCACCAAATTATCCTATCAAATTATCCCACTTTAAGAATTACCCATCATTGTTCCACTAAATTATCCCAGTGTTAAAAAATTATCCCACTTTACCAATTATCACAGTTCTACTTAAAAAGTTCTAGGTGACTAACCCCCCCTAAATGGAAAATTCATTTACCTAAAAAGCATAAATTTCACAAGGGCATTTAGGTAATCTAAATTATAATTAATTAAGCATTTTAGTTAAAATAGTTGTAACACCGCTGAGGTAATAAAAAAAAGAGAAGAATAAAACATTTCCCCCAATTTTCCACAAAGCTAAGGGGGTGTTTGTTTGCATGCAAGTGAAAGATGAAAGTGAGAAAGTTACTTTCATTTAACAATTAAGGTGTTTGTTTTCATGTAAGTGGTTATGAAAGTGAGATGTAAGAAAGTTGCCACATAAGATTTAATGCAATTTTGACTTCCCCTAAAAAAATGGTGAAGTCACATGAAAGTGACAAAAATGTAACTAATTTAATTAAATGATTTTAATTATATTTTCTAATTAATCTTATTTTGCCACGTCATCTTCACATTGCACTTTCGATAATAATTTAATTTTTCAAACAAACAATGTATTTCACTTGCGTGCTGACATGGATGTAAAAGTCATTTGCAAAAAAAAGTAACTTACATATTTTAAATTCACTTTCAGATTGCCAAACACCCCCTAAGGGTGGGCATGGGTTGGGCTGAATTGTGAGCTAGCTTGGTCCAGCCTGGATGTTAGCACGAACCAGCCCGATCCAAATTGGGCCAGGCCGAACCCAACACAATATTCACTCGGGCCATAAGTCCGACTAGGTTAAGCCCTAAACCTGGTACCACACGTCTTAGCTCGAGTCGGCCCGACCTGACATGTACCTTTTCTTTCTTTGTTAGACTAGCTTCCTTTGGTCCTTTAGGCTTGCAACCTGTTATTAGCAAACAAAGCATAAAGGCTCTAGGTCTTCGAGTTTTAGGCTTTTGGCCCGTTAGCAAGCAAAACAGCGAACTTTAAGTTGGTGATGTCTGCTTGCCAAGATTACAAATATAAGTTTAAAAATACAAGTTTAAATTACTAAATTTTTTAAAATTAATTAGATAAGTATACATACAAGTTTAATATAGTTAAATAGTTAAACAATAAAAAAAGGAAAAAAGTAAAAAAAAAACAAAACCATGGGCTGGTCCCCGACCCACGGGCCGTGAGCTTGTTCAAGCTTGGCCTGAACCTAGGTAAGCCGTGGCTCGAGCTGAGTCTAGCCCTATGCCTAGTACCAGAGAGAGAGTGCCAATCCAATCTAACCCGCCCGGATCCGAATCAGACAACTACCTTATACCCGCCGGGCCAGGTTATGGGCTGAACTAACCCAGCCCATGCCCACCCTTGCACAAAGTCCTAGCCCTCTTCTCTCGATAAACAAAAAAAGAAAAACCTTTCTCTCTTATAAAGGTTCCAGATTCTAGAACTAAATTCTTCAGTTTTGTCTCGAGATGGGTACGAATTCGAATCGTCTTTGGAATCAAGAGGCGTCCAGCGCCGGTGG